AAATTGAAAATTGTGCAAAAATGAAAAAAAAAAACAGTAAGGAAAGTAGTAAAGTCGGACTGGGCCGACTATATGATACCCTTCACCACTTTACAGATGTCTTCTTTTCGAAGGAACATTGATTTCATACTTTTTAAACAGACTTTAAGTTAACTTTACGCACGCTATTTGGTATGCTTCACTGTTTAAAATGTAATATCAATCAAGCACCCATCGATTATTCGGTTTACAATCAACATGAATTTATACTAATTTCAGTAAGTTTTGCCAATTGGCCAAGCTATGGGTCTTTAGTACACCATTTACTTAAAATCGGACGAAAGTATATATAGGAGCTATATGCAAATCTGAACCAATTTCAAGAAAACTTGACACACACAAGGTTATAGTAACATCAGTACATTGTACAAAATTGTGTGTGGGTCGGCCAATCTTTGGTTCTTTAGTGCACAATTTACATTAAATCGGACGAAAATATATATTGGAAACGTTTTTCACGAAACTTAGCACACATCATTCCGGACCCAATTCAGTGCCCTATGCCAAATTTTGTACAAATCGAAAGATATATAGCGACATTGGAGATCCATTTACTTTAAATCGGACGAAGATATATATGGGAGATATATATAAATCTGACCCAATTTTCTCTAAACTTGGCACACGTCATTCTTGACCTAATTCAGCACTTTATGCCAAATTTCGTCCAAATCGAAAGATATATACGGACTTTAGTGCCCCATTTACATTAAATCGGACGAAAATATATACGGGAGCTACATCAAAAATTGGACTGATTTTCGCGAAACTTAGCACACATCATTCTAGGCTTAATTCAGTACGCTGTACCAAATTTCGTGCAAATCAAAAGATATTTATGGACTTTGGTGCACCATTTACCTTAAATCGGACGAAACTATATATGGGAGCTATATCTAAATCTGAACCGATTTTCTCGAAACTTGGCAAACATCATTCTGCACCTAATTCAGTACTCTGTGCCAAATTTCATGCAAATCGAAAGATATAGAGGGACTTTGGTGCCCCATTTACCTTAAATCGGACGAAAATATATATGAGAGCTATATCTAAATCTAAACCGATTTTTCTCAATTTCAATGGGGTTCGTCCTTGGGCCAAATAAGTGAACTGTGCTAAATTTCATCCAAATCGGATCATAAAAGCGACCTGTACTTTGTTAACAAAAATACATGACGGACAGACGGACATGCGTAAATATACTCAGAAAATGTTTCTATGGATATTCTCAAAAGGAACCATGGGTCTATCTCGATTCCTTTTGCCTGTTACAAGCATATGCACAAAGACATAATACTCTGTACCACAGTGTGGTGAAGGGTATAAAAAAAAAAATGAAATGCAGGACGATAAGCACAAAATACTTTTTTTATAAATAAATAAAAAGATTTAAAACAAAAAACACAATTTTACACAATTTGAAATACGAACGAATGAAGAATATGGGAATAAAGGAACAAGATCAGAAAAAAAGAACGAGATCAAAAAGGAATATATTAAATATATAATATATATTAAATAAAGAGCTGAAACTAGTTCCGATCGCTCCTTTCTCGGAATAGTTCCAATGAAATAGTTCGTTCCGGAACTACCCAACTCTAGCTATTTTAAGGGGCGTTGGAAACTTTATTTTAATACGAATGCACTTAGTGCATTACAATCCAATTTGTAAAAATAGCAATTACACAGAAAAAATAATTCGTATTTTATATGAATAGTGTTCAGAAATTGGTGCCAATTTCCGGATTTCTGTATTTTATGAATGCAATTCATAAAAATGAAAATGCTGGTTTCTTTTCAGAGAGAGTGAAAAACACAACTTTCTATTGTGTTTGGTTGGTAGTGATTTTGTGATTGTGTAATTTTTAATTTGATTAATTTTACGTTATATTTTAGTTTGTTATATCTTGTTTCTCTTTCCTGTTCACTTATTTAAATATATATATATATATATATATATATCAACACTTGGTATTGGCATTTATAACAAAATAATTTGGTAAATGCATATGTGAATTTTTTAACACCAATGCCGCAAACTTTTGTGTAATAACGGCGGTTACGCATAAAAATGTAAAAAAGTTTCTAATAATAAATATGCGTAAGCAGCGCGTAAACATGTCAACGAATGGCGGTGGCAGTTTTTATTTATAATTTTGATAAAATTTGAAAGTCGCTTAACTGAAAAATATCGGATAAGTGAAATAGTCAACTGAAACTGAAAAATGTTTCACTTATGATAAGTTCTGAAATTATTTTCAGCTGACCGAACTCCGCTTAAGTGAAAACATCGCTTAAATGAAACAAACATCCAGATATTTTTCAGTTTCAGTAAAGCAGAGTCGACTGTATTAATAAAATGTTTACATATTTTCATGATTATATTAATTTTTAATTGTATATTATATGAGGTTCATGTACAATATTCATTAATTATACCCTACACAACTATGTTGTCAGGGTATTATAGCTTTGTGCAGCCCCATGGGTTTGTAACGCCTCGAAATATTTTAAGTACACCGATTGTCATATCTCGACTAGCTGAGTCAATCTAGAGTCTAGATTCTAGACATGTGTGTCCATCCGTCTATCCATTATAATTTGTTAACACGATACGGTTATGGACCAATCGCCACGAAATTTTGCATGTAGAATGGTTTCTGATCAAAGAAGACCTCAATTGTTTTTGGTAATGATCCTTTAGTATTAAGGGGATGACATGCAATATTTTTTTCAGTTTTTCTAGTCGGTATGACCCGAAATTTAGCAAGGAGAAGGGTGTCAGGCCTAAGAATAAACCCTCAATATTTAGTGGATTAAAAGGACCCTGACTTTTGTGTGAAAGGTGGTCAAATTTGCATTCAATGGGGTATGTGGTACTCCTGAAGAACATAGACCATTGAAGTTGACATTATATCACAGAGGAGTCAAATTTGCATGCAGTGGCGTACGTAATAATCCTGAAGAACATAAGCCATAGACGTTGACATTATATCATAAAGGAGTGGTTGACCTTTAAATTGATACAAATTATATGTCTGTATGTAGTCATATAAGGGAGTCATACGTAAATATTTAAGGTGGTTTATGTATTCTGATCATGTTTAATATTACCATTACCACCCTAGAGGGCGTAAAATGTAGCGATGATGTCTAAGAAATTTTGCATGAAGTTCTGGTTATGGTCAAGGAAGACACCTAAATTTTTCGATAATATTTCGGACATAAAATGGACCGAAAACTTTATTTTTGTCTGGTCTTCTGGTCGCTTTAAACGCCACCGACCATCAGAAATTTTCATTGGGGAAGGCGATCTGACCAACTAATTCGAAAGGATGTCTTGATGATGAACGGTGAAATCATCCGAAAGTTTTTTGTTAAAAATAACAAAATATTACCCAGGTCGGCCCGGCCCGTCTATACTGCTCCGCTGTAGGTATAACCACCGTTATCAAATTGACTTATAGTGGAGGATATAAACTATTCATCACGCCTTTTTAATTGTTTTGGTTATACAAAAATATAGAGCGATATATCCCACTTGCAATATAAACATTCTCTGAGTTCTAGTAATATTTGATTAACATTTCAGAGCTCTATCTCAAATATTGATTTATATAAAGGAAAAGAGGGATAGACAGGCAGGCGGACATGACTAAATCGACATAGAGTTTTATACTGACTAGGTTTTGATAAAAAGGAAAAGAGAAGCAAAACAAGTAAACCAGTGTCAGTCGGTCTGGTCGACCTTTTTTCGTCCCTGGAATCTGAAAAGCATTGACACCATCTTACTTAGGATATGGGTCGACTGGGATACTTCCTTCGCATGATATTAGGTTGGGGAAAAAATCATTATTTTTTCGGCAGATGGCTCGATTTCTCGTAAAGTATCGATCAAACAATTTTAGATTTAAGCTCGTTGGAAGGGTGACATTTCGCAGTAAAAAAAAAAAAAATATTTTGCTGTTTTTTGTTTGGTGCATTCAGTTGTGAGTTGCAGGGTGCTAAAAATGGAAGTGAACAACGAGAAAATTCGGTACATTTTACAGGATTGGACATATATTCTTTATCTTCCAACATGATTTCAGAATGAATAAATCAAGACGGAAAGACGGGCATTTGTACATAGACTCCGAATTATATGAAATCGAACATGAATTTGACTCATATTCACAATTCCACACGTTCGATTGCAGTTGTTTGTTCGAGCCCCTACGCATAGATCAAGGATTAGTCACCTGTGGCATTCATTGAAACAATCCACTGAAAATACCGAATCGTACCGAAATTAGAACAAGATTGTGTGAAGTTGCCCACGAATTCGTAAAGTAACTAGGGTGAAATACAGGGACATTTTTAGGGAACTTTCGATTTTGTCCACAAAATTATTTTCGGATACTTTTTCAAACATATCCTTTTAGAGTATGTGCAGATTACTCGGAAAATAATGGGAGAAACATTAGACAATATCGAGAATATAGCGTCAATTCTCTGTGTTTATTGTCTTTTAAATAAATTACACAAAATTAAAAAGATTCTCTTCAGAATATGTGCAGATTACTCGCAAAAAAGGTTAGAGAATTCGGGAAAAAATCTGATATCAGAGCCCTTGGCAAAATTGTAGGGTGATAATAATGACAAACTTTAAAATTCATGACACTCTATTCATGCTCCCACCACATATTATCCCCTTACCAAAAATGAATCATTTCGTACACGCCACATAAAAGTCCACTTCGTTATAAGTATTGTGAATTCCCATCTCATGACGACCGTGTCGAATTTAACTATGATTGTAGCACATTTTAGACGCATGGTATTCACGATGCGTTGATATGTTCCAAAGCCACATATTCGGAATTAAGAAGAGTTAGCGTATTACAAAAAAATAAAATCTGTGCCTATCAATAGACCGATGTATATGTTTTTATTTAAATCTAAGAATATCCAACATTACTCACCTTTATTTCTTCGTGTGGAATTTGCTGCTGATGCTGCTGCTGCCTCATAGGCGTCTTTATCTGTTATTTCCTCTTTAATAATTGTTTTACCGTCGAGAGCCATCTACCACAGAGAAAGGGAGAATACAAAACAAATAGCAATTATTATTGGACTGCAATTTGTACCCTTCGTGCGGAACAGCAGCAACTTAATATTAACATTATTAATAACAACAATAACAATAATAGTAATAATAATAATGGAAAATAATAACAAACAAAGAGCTGTATGATATTCAATCAGCAAGTGATGAATTTCTCACATTATTAAAAGCCACCGTCACTCACACACACATACGCACTGCGAGCTGCTGCTGCGGTTGTTATTTTGCCTCTTTCTAAATGTATTTAAATTTATTTATGCCCGGGAATTAGTGTCTGACATGCAACAAAGCTGCTTCACCAAAAATCAATCTGTCGCCGGGACCAAATGTTCTCAGGCAAAACAAAAAAATCTATTCCATGTTTTTCCGAACTCTACAATTTGTCGATATTATCACCAAGGAAAAAACAAGCGGTATGGATGGACACACAGCCCCGCTTGGCATGTTCCGCAGAAACAAATAAAATGTTGCTTGTCGTTTCTAATATGCCGAGGAGAGCAGAGGAAGAACAACAAGCCTCGAACATTGGTAGCTTGCATGTGAAAAAGTTGTCAAAAGAGTAAATTAAATGTGTGCGTTTGTGTGTGGGGAAGTACCCCCCAAAATAACGCCTAAACACTGCTGCTGCTGCTCCAAACCAAAAAAAGAAAATATGAAACAAAATTGTTGACGAGGGTATGTTGCGGGGGGCTCTCTGGCAATAACCACCAATAAACAGTCGTGGTAACAGCTGCTAAAAATCCCTTCACAAATGGAGTAAATGACTAAATATGAATGGGTATTTTGTCAGTGTGTGTACGGTTGAGTTCGCTATATTTGTGTGCCTGATTACCCCGGCACAATGTTCTCTCAGTTCTTCTGAATTATTCGCATAGTTAAAGCCATAAATTCAAACCGACTAATCAAATCGGCAACACTTGCTACCACACGCGGTCTGCACGATATGCCACCACCATCACCACTAACTGCCACTCAGTCCGCCAGCCAGCCAGCCTGCTTGCCTTCCTGATTGAAGGCAATAAATGCAATATTGCCATTGTTTCGGATTTGAAGTTGAGGAGGGGTTAACAATCATTTACAACTCCATTAATACAAACACACCGACACACACAAACAAACAATCGAACGAACAATTGCAGACTAAAAGCAACAACAAAAATTCTTCGATAAAATGCAATGAGGCAATTTGTGCAAGCAGCAGATGTTGAAGTTTTGCCAAACAGGAACTTTGATTACAGCACAGAAGAAGAAAAAATTGGAAATTTTAGCTGATTTTTTATTGAAAGATGTGTTTGTTTTACGCTCAGGGAAAATAATGCAATATACAACAAATGGGTCCACAATCCTTCAAAATCAGGGATATATGCTGGTAATGATCAACCCTTTGAGGCCTTCGAGATACAAAACTGATCAATTATAGTTTAGACGAAATGTTTTGATACAAGAAAAGAAAAGGAAAAACATATATATAAATAAAGGAAAAGAACAAATCCGAATAGAAGCTACTATATCAATACAATTTCTACTTAAAATTGCGCAAATATATTTCGCATATAATTTTGGCTGATATAATAAAATTGTGCAAAACACACGTAACCTTTATAACGATTGGATCTGAAGGAACTAGGTGAACGAAAGCAAATAGAATCGGCTGGAACAGTGTGAAAGAAAGGACTGGACCTATCACCATTCGTTCCTTTTACGGAATAGTATCTTTGAACCCCATATCCCTGCATCAAATGTTGATGAGTTTTTACTAGAGTTATCCAAATTTTTTCCCTGAAACAATCGCCAGTTCAAGGAACAAGGTCATTTATTAGGTCCTTCAATTATTGGCATATGTCCTAGTACCGTTCGTTCCTTTTGCAGAATAGTTTCTTTGAACTAGTTCGTTCCGAAATGACCCAACTCTAGTTTTTACCAAAGGTATATAAAATCTAAATCTCAATCTGATTCGACACAAAAATCTGACACATTAAGAATTGGAAAATGTTACTTAGTTAAATTTTAATAATTAATTGTGTAATTAATTAGTACTTAATCATGAAACACAAAATGAAGTTAACTTTTCACGTTGTGATTAAAGAAAACGAATTCCAGTGGGAGATTGTTCTTGTTACGACAGGAATTATAAACATTTTGCATACCTTTTTGATCGCACTGGCTGTGTCGGGTAATGTTGGTTGGAGATTTATATTTTTCCAGATAATATTTAAGCATTTGAGAGCATTTCGTTGTGCATTCGGAGCTACAGATCGTTCTGCGAAATCCTCAGTGCGGAACAACTTACGCAACCTGTTCCGGGTTTCAGGTATCAGAATAAACGCAAACGTTTCTAGCGTATAGTGCAGACCTTTGGGATCTGCATGAACTCTAAAAAAGAAATCAAACTCCTCTCAGTAAAGTGGCGGAAGATACGAGTGAGGGGAAAAAGAAACTTTGCCGCCGGTTTCCATAATCACAGTTTTACCATGATGGGGCTATTTTTAATTAACCATAATTGTTCATCAAATCCTTGACAATGAAGTACTCGATACTCGTAAAGTATCGATCAAACAATTTGTGATTTATGCTCGATGGGAGGGTGACATTTCGCAGTAAAAAATATTTTGTTTGGTGTGAGTTACAGGGTGTTAAAAATGGAAGTGGACAAAGAGGAAACTCGGTACATTTTAAAGTTTTTCTTTGGCAAAGGCGAAAATGCAATGGTTCCGATACTGTAACAGCCAATTATGTGCAATTTTGGTTTCGTAGATTCCATTCAGGAATTTTTGATGTTAAAGATGCACCTCGCACAGGTAGACGGGTCGTTGAAAATGTCGATAAAATCGGAGAAATGATCGACGTTGACCGGCAATTCACTAGTCGTAACATCGCCCAGGATCTAAAAAAATTGACCATAAAACTGTTATAATCCATTTACAATTGACCAGAATTGGCCAACAGGAGAGGTGTCATGTTCCACCAGGACAACGCTAGACCACACACATCTACAGCGACTCGCCAGAAACTTCAGAAGCTTGGTTGGGAAGTTTTAATGCATCCGTCATACAGTCCGGACTTAGCACCAAGCGATTATCATATTTTTCTTGCATTGAAAAATTTTTTTTGGTAGGGAACACACATCAATAAAAATTTAAATTTAGAATTGAAAGGGGTAGCTACCATAACTGAACTCGAATCTATATACCGTACTTATATGCGGTACTTATGAGTGGGCTTATTTATGATGGCTATATATCGATAAAACACCTTGGTAAAATATTACATTTAAATGGGATGGTGTAGCTACCATAATTACATAACGTTTGTATCTTACGGAGTTTCTTTAATTGAAAAAAACATAAAAATTTAAGCATTCCTTACAAAAAAAATCTCGATTCAGAATGAGACATCTGCACTTATTTGGGAATAAAACCGGCAGGTGTTCATCGATTTTTATGGACATGTCATCGAAAGTATGGTTTCGCGAGCACCTAAACGAGACAGATATAGTTTTATTCGTTCTTTTGGAAACGTGGCAAAAAATCCACGCTCGTGAGACCCTTCATTCAGAATGATGCAGATGTTTGATGACCGCTATATAAAACGTAGTGAGCTGTTAGGGGATCAATTCAAGTGCATGTTCAAACAATCAGATGATCTGGCCGAACTGGAGAAAAATGAAATCTGATATCAAAAAATTAAAAATAGAACTCTAAAGCAAGAAAATTCCCAGCATGCTTGCGAAAGTCGTGTTAATGACTTTGGAAATATTCGCAGTTCCATTAACACACTTGTTTCGGGTGTCAGGTCTGTACATAGTCTCTAAAACAATAAACAATAAACAATAAAGAATGTCAGTGATTCAAAATGTTCATCGATTTCCATGCTCTAGGGTTATGTAGACAGGTAACGAATGATGAATTTATGTGTATGACCCGAAACAAAACTTCAATTATCCATAAGTTGTTCGAGGAAGAAGCACTTCGAACAAATGATCTAGTGCTTCTTCGACAAAATGGTCAGTCAGCGTATGTAACGTAGGATGGTCAATTCGATCTTTGGACTAGGCATTATTTAACCCTGCACCTCAATAAAAAAAATCGTCCTAAGAAGATCTACCGAAATTCTCACCATTCTCTGGATTGTTTTGAAATCGTTTTAATATATATTCCCATTATATTGTAGGTTCCCATTATTTAAGTTTCTTTTTAGAATGCACCATACAAGAGCTCCTAATATTTCAATTAATAAAAAATCGTTTCTATTATTTGCCAGAGAGTTCGTTCGTTTTTAATTAACTTCCTACATTTAAGTGTTTCTAAAACAAACAATGAATGAACGAATTTGTTATTCTAAAACAACAACATTCATTTTTCAATACGAAATTTGCTAGCTGGTGTGAATATTTCTCCATTCAATTGTTTTGCGAGGCGGTGTCTGGTCTTTGTTAGTTGTTCTGTTTTTTTGCCATTTTTATTATTGTTGGTGCTTTTTTCGCATATATATAGATTTTTTCTGTCGGTCGGTACGTTTATCATTGAATAAATTTTAGAAATTTCTCTGGAGATGAAACAGTAACGAAACAAAACAACAAATTTAAAAATTCAGCTGGCTGTCTGGTTGGCGGTTTTTGTTGTCGCAACAGCATGTGCCACATCTAGAATTATTTTAATTGTTTGTGTTGTTGCTGTTCATTTTGAAAACAGTTGGTCTATATCATTGATGATTTAAAGGAGATCCACTGTATGGTATCTTTATCATCACAGCAGCCCACCAGCAAACCAGCCACCATAAATAGTGAATTGTTTTAGGATTTCCTAGCTATGGTATGTAGGGTTTTTATTAATATTTTCACTATTGATGAATGTGTTTGTTCTAACGTTGACGCCTCCGTTGCAGCAGCAGCAGCTGCTGCTCCGGCAGCTAGTGAATTTGACTGTTCGCCAGTCAGCTCAACCAATAGATAGTCTGTGAAACTGTTGA